GGGACTTAACATGCAAATGAAAATCCAGAAAATGTACTGTACCACTAGCCACAACCCAGCAAAGTACAGTCTCAGCGTGTTGTGTTTAGTCTCTGTGGAAGTGTACAGCTGCGATCTGTTTAGAGAGATTAATAATTCAGTGTTGGACTGATGTATATGAAATGGAGCGTTTGCTTTTCTTTTGTCTCTCTCGCAAGACACACTACATACTATAGTTCTTGGGAAAAGGTGAATTTGAAAATTTGAAATATTCAGCTCATATACAGTACTGTACTGTAAGATTAATTGAACAAATATGGTAACATGCAAATTGATGCCGTCATCTTTCCCTAAAGTGCTTTGTGATGTCTTACTTTCTCTTACGCTTTTATTTTGTAGATTATTCATCTTGACTACTGTGGGTTTTTTCTTTCCTGTCCTGTCTTTCTAAACAGTTTCAATACATTTTTATCATTAATGCAAAGCAATTACCTGTTTGAAAGATGCTACACAAACAACTGTGCCTCACCTAACTCTTTCTTTCTTCTGTCTGCCAATATTTTCCTTTGTTCATATCCTTTCCTCTCCTTTCCCTCTTTGTCCTCTTGTGATTTTACCATAGAAACGACCGTGTTTACATCCCGTGTCTCTCTCAAGAAGATCTTGTTTATTCTTCAGAGTGCCAGTGTGGGAGTCTCGTACTATCATTCTGGAGGAAATACTATAAGTCGCATGCCAGTCGCAGTAAACCACAAACCCAAGCTTGGTGGAGAGGGGCATTTTTCATACAAATCATGGAAAATAGTTGTTAGCGAGCCATTGCCAGGCTGAGTGAACAGCCATAAATAGACTCCCTTTGCATGTAGTAACAGCTTTGAGCAACACAAAGGCAGACTGTAGCAACCATTGCCTGTGGTATGGCTGGATAAAAAGGGCTCTTATTGTTTCTGTGCATTTCTGAGTTAGTCATAAGATATGCTGTCAGGTTTAATCCACCAGGCATCAGAAGTGAACCTTTGAATCTATTCTGTAAACTTGAAATTCCCATCATTTTCACTTCAGCCCTCCCCCTCCCAGCACCACAGGGCTTGTCAGTATGACAGAATTCTCCCTTAATGAACCCCACCTCAGTCTTAAGGGACCGGAGGCTCTGACACTTTGGTCCTCAACAAAACACTTACATTACGTGATAAAAGGAGCTCCCTGGGATATGTATCTGGTGCTGCGATGATAAATACATAAATAACGTCAGAGGTGGTTCAGGAGGGCTCCTTGAGCAGGAAAGTGTGACAGTACAAAGGCTGCAAGGAGCAAAGACTGATGTGGAATGTAACTACCCTGGAAGCTGAAGTCATATGGGGCTAATCAGGTCCAGTGACAGTAAAGATAAAAAGAGAGCGAATCAGATCTTTATGTGTGTCCTGCCTGTTGGGTGTCTTATCAGTGCTGCTTGAGAGGTCAAGTCAGGACACAAATCACACCCCCCGAGCTCGTCAGTCTCCTCTCAACTTACACAACAGTTGGGCTACATCTGCTTCTCTTTTTCTCTCTCTGTCTCTCTCTCTTTTCTCTTCCCACTCCTGAAATGTGTTGTTCCACAGTGATGTTTGTTGGCCCAAAAGTGGAGTTGCTTTGGTACAGGATGACGTGGTGGTACCTCCATGGTTCTCTGGGGCAGGCTTATGGTTGGGTTTATGGTTTGTTTAGCCCGAAGGTCACATTAGATTAGCACTTGTGCCAACCACAGAAGCACTTGGACTTACCAAAAGGGCACTCATGCCAACCAAATAGTCACTTGGGCTTACCAGAGGAGCACTTGGAGAAACCAAAAGGGTGCTTGAGAGGCATGTGGAAAAAAATGTAGGCACTTGGGACAACTACAAGAGCTTACCACAAGGGCACTTAGGTCAATTAGAGGGACACTGTGGTCAACCAGAGGGGCACTTGGGCCAACCAGATGGACATTGGTGGCCAACAAGAAGGGCTAATCAGGGGGTCACTGAACCAGACCAAATGGGACTTGAGCTGGTAGAGCACAGAGGTCAACCAACGGGGCACTGGGCTCAGTTGGAGAGGCCGATGGACATTGGAGCCAACCAGAGTTCCATGTTGGTAAACTATATGCTCTGTAGTTTACCAGTGGGTGAAGGGTACTCACCCAAGGGACATTGTGAGCAAACTATGGGCACTTGAGCCAACCAAAGTAACACTTGCAACCAGAGGGCATTCGGGTTGACTGAGCAGTCATTTCTAATTTTCAGATTTTTAATGCTGTATTGCAGTCATGACTTTTCTGTTCATAGGGCCTTCAGGTAAAAAAAATATAATTTCTTATCAAACAAGACTATGAATATGTTCAAATGGTAAAAATAAAATGCATACTAGATGAACTGAATAACAACTAGAAATACTATTTTAAACAACTGCTGGTTCAATTCCCAAAGAGCATAATGCAGGCTCAGTTGATGCTGGTGACCACCCATGGGTCTGCCATTCAAGTCAGCACTTCACTAGATACAGGCCCCATTGCTTGGTGTCTTTTGGGCCCAAGTCTCTCTGAGACTTATTTGTTCGAACCCACAGAGCTCTGGAGACACACCTCCAGCGCTCACACACACACACACACACACACACACACACACACACACACACAAACACAGGTTTTCATGATAGCTGAGTACAGTAGATACAGTCTCAAATGTTTTTTTGTGAGTTTTTCTATTTACATTTTAAACTGGTTCAGTTAAGTCCCCTTATGAATGTTATTCTTCAGCCCAATTACACAGTCAGATTCCAATAGAATTCAGATTGAACATTTAAAGAAGTTTTGTACAATAAAGCTCTGTAAATTGCAGACTAATCTGGCAGTGTGATTCAACTATTATTGGTTTTGGTCCAGGATGTGACTGATTATTTTTGGTTCCAGTCAAATTATTTATTTTCTCTTCTCTTTTTTTACTCACAACTGTACCAATCCAATGTACACCTCTTAGCCATTAACACTTTTCTTTTTAGATGAAAAAAATGTGTACGCCTATACAGTTAGCAGATGTCCCCTGTTGTTTTTTTGTAAATATCAGTAAATACTACATATATCATTTCAATTCAATTTGAACTTTTATTTCCCTCAAACACTTATGCTGTAGTATGACCCACTTTAAGGAATCTGTAATTACTTTTTTACTCTCAAATGCAGCAGAGTATGAACTCCATGGCATATGACTATGTCCTCACTGCGCCTGTGTCCTGAGATGGCCCCAACAGTCTAACCGCATTTTTTCTTCTGGCACACAGTGGAACATAAGGATCGCATATGCCTTTGGCAGGAGTCCACACCCACATTCCTCAGCTATGTGCTCACAAGCGTCCTCTCTGCCCCCCCCCCCCCCC